AACTGACCTGCCTGCAGTCCAGACCTGTCACCACTGAAAACATTTGGCGCATTATGAAATGAACTGTTGAACTGTTGAGCGGTTGAAATCCTATATTAAACAAGAACAGGAAAACATTTCACTTTCAAAACTACAGCAGTGTCTCCTCAGTTCCCAAACGCTTACAGAGTGTTAAAAGAAGAGGTGATGAAACACAGTGGTAAATATGACCCCGTCCCAACGTTTTTGAAACGTGTTGTTGGCATCAAATTGAAAATGGACATATATTTTTCAAAAAACAATCAAATTTTTCAGTTTCAACATTTGATTTGTTGTCTTTGTAGTATTTTCATTTAAAAATATGGTTTACATGATTTGCACATTGTTGCATTTTGTTTTTATTTACATTCTACACAGCGTCCCAACTTTTTTGGAAATTGTATATATGGATTGCATATATATTTCATTAAAAAATGAATAGCTTGGGGCGGCACGGTGGCGCAGTGGGTAGCGCCGTCGCCTCACAGCAAGAAGGGCCTGGGTTTGATTCCCGGCCGGGCGACCAGGGTCCTTTCTGTGTGGAGTTTGCATGTTCTCCCTGTGTCTGCGTGGGTTTCCTCCAGGTTCTCTGGTTTCCTCCCACGGTCCAAAGACATGCAGTCAGGCCAACTGGACATGCTGAATTGCCCCTAGGTGTGAATGTGTGTGTGATTGTATATGTCTGTCTTTCTGCCCTGTGATGGACTGGCGACCTGTCCAGGGTGTATCCTGCCTTCCGCCCAATGACAGCTGGGATAGGCTCCAGCACCCCACCGCGACCCAGAAGGATAAGCGGTTTAGATGTATGTATGTATGTATGAATAGCTTGTTAATGGCTGTACTATACAGATAAATGCATAAGTGTTGTACATAATGAATGTGATTTATTTTTATTTCTTCAATTATGACCAAAGGGAATGGTACAGTTTTAAATATCTGTTCTGTTTGAGCTTCTAGCATGGTAATTGGATAAGGATCTGAGTGGCAGGCCCCTCCTTAAGTGCTAATCAATGTAGCTGAGGGACAGCATTGCCCTAAAATTACTGGGAGTGTGCTGCCTTTAACACAGGATTGGAAGACAGTCTCACTAATTCAAGCCCTCTCTTAAAGAGAGATGCGAAGAGAGACTATAGAGAGCATAGGAAGAGAATTGTTCACAGTACTGTATACTGGGGAGAATAAACAGCCATCATATTGACTAGACCCATTTTACACCCCGGCGAGCACCATAATCATCGTCATGATGTGTAGGCGATCATAAACAGTGACACTACTCTGTGGCATTGTCAGAGCTGAAATTGCTTTGCATTCAGTAAACGTGGCCTTTTTGGAATTTTGACACTTAGGCTGCATGGCACAAGCACACTGTGTTCATTTTCTTTCACAATTCAGAGTGCTACTGTGTCCCCCTCCATTTTTGCTTTTCGTGACTATTCCTAAATGCAGCTGATAATCCAGTGATATGTGGTTCAAACAGATAAAATATTTTGTTCATCCATTTTAAATAGGAATGATCTCTAGGGTAACCATGATAAATCTCTGAGCATTTAAGTATTACAGACTGAACCAAGTAATAACCTTTTTTTAACCCAATGCTCACACTGTGTGGGCTGAATGAACACATGAAATTCACTGGAACATTTCCAGTACTTTCTGTTAACTGAAGTTGCATTATAAATAACATTGTTTGCCCTTTAATGGGCCAAACTGACATTTTAAATTCTTAAATGAAAAATCTTTTTTCTCATTTACAATGAGTCATACATAATTATGCTACTACAGCTGGTGTTTGTGTAGCAGCAGCATTCAAATACAGTGCGAGTGCACTTACCTGCTTCATGCTACATCTTAAATTGCAACACAGATCAGCCAAAATCAAAATAATAAATTGGCTGATTGCCAGTCACGTTTAGCACAAAAATCTGCCGATTCCAGTCTTGGCCTATTCCACTTGTGCTTCCCCTATATATACATAGATTTATGGATGGATGGATGGATGCAAGTATAGATAGAGTGCTGTGCAGAAGTTAGAGACCACCATTCATTTATTTAATTCCCAGTCAGGCTTGCTTTGAGATTTTTAAAGAAATCTGCAGGGATATTTTTCCACACCTCCAAAGTTCAGTCTTAGAAGTTGGTTTAGCATTTTCTACCTCTCACGGTGCAAGTGATCTCAATCACATTCAGTAATGTTGAGGTCTGGCTCTGGGGTGTACAGTCCATTGTTCTGAGAAACACCAACAGTTTCTTTGTTTGATTTGCAAATGTTCTTTTTTTTTTATTTGTGTCATTTTCTCAGTGAGGCTTCTTGACAGCTTCACATCGTTTCAGACCCATAGCGTTGAGTTGTCTTCTCACAGTGGAAGGATGGACAGAAACACCTGTGGACATTTTCAGATCTGAAGCAGCTTAATTTTCTCCTTTCTTTCAAAGATGAAAACTTGAAGTGCTGTTTATCTGAAGGGGACAGTTTTAGGGGTCTACCAGGTGTTGCAGGTGGTTGTTAGGAGTGTAACTTTTAATAATTTTTCCAAGACTCCAGTTTTGGAAATGTTTTTGTTGACTTTCTCCTTCCTTAAGTATATTGTCTTATATTTAATCTCCTCAGAAATATCTCCTGAAAAGTGAGCGTACTTCTACTTTATAGCTAATCTGACTCAGTGAAGGGTCTCTGACTTTTGCACAGTACGATAGATAGATAGATAGATAGATAGATAGATAGATACTGAAAGATTAAATATAATAATTAATGTGCCAAATTCAGTGCTTATCATTATGATCATTTGATGTATTATATTTGAAGTTATAAATAATGCATGGCTAATCAGCAATTAACAGCTAAAGGCACAAGACACTGTAGACCCATATAATGTGCATGTTTGCTATCAACACAGGCCTCCCCTTCCTCCAGCTAATGGCATTTATCATTGTCTTATGAACAGCATGAGGCAGGGAGACATGCTGTGTCACGCACACTTGAACAGATTGGCTCCAATATCTATGGCAAAGAGAAACATCTCTATAGGAGCGCAGCAGGTATAGAAATAGCTCAAAAATGCACATAGAAAACATTCAAGCTTTTAGAGACCAAATCTGCAACAAACACAAATCCTTTTGTTTGTTTTGTTTTGAAAATCTTCTGGACCACCAGCAACCTAAGTGGATTCAAGCACAGTCACGATGATTTGTTTCTTTTTCCGCACTGATCATTTGGAGCAAATGAATAGGCGGAGCGTTCAGCCTTGCATACATTTATTTTCTCCCGCTTTGATCTTTCCGTGGTGAGTCACCGTCATCCGCCTGCTCAGCTCTGTAGTGAGAGCTGGGAGGGAGAGCTAATATGAATAATTCACTCTTTACTTCCTGCCAGTCTGCTATCATCTGAAGCTATCTGACAAATGGCAGGCGCACCAGCGTAAACAAACAAACATGTGCCACCTGTCGTCTGGTTGGATTCTGTTACTCCAATATCAAGACACAAAATCCACCTGAATATAACCAGTAAAGTTTTACAGATCTTCAGAGAATAAACAACTTTAGAAATCTTGAGAAGTAGTCTAAGCGTTGGCCCTGTTATTGCAAAATTGTGAGTTTGATCCCCAGTGATGCCACAGCCATCCGTAACCTGGAGTCCAAGAGAGCATAATGGTCATCTCTCTCTGGGTGGGTAGGATGGTCTTCCCTCTCCCCCTATTAAGTGCAGTGCTAGCGAATGCAGGTATCTGTTAGCTGATGTAACAGAACTGGCAACCAGTGTTCTCCTCCAAGTGTATTGAATTTGAGAAGATATGGTGGTGCTTCATGTGTGTTGGAGGAAGCACATGCTAACCTTCACCCTCCCGTAACTGTGTAACAGGGGGAGGCCTAGTTAATGGGTGGAATTGGACATGACTAAAATTGGGGAGAACAATTGGGCAACCCCCCACCCCCCACAAAAAAAGTAATGGTAAGGAGGTAACTGGTGCAATTCAGCTGAGTTTATGAGTGCAGCTCAACATACGAGTCTAATACCTGGTTTTCCACTAAATGCTGCAAATGCTGTGGTTGTGTATACTCTGATATCCTGATTTCCTGCGGTGTCTTGACACATACAGTACTTTGCAAAGGTCAGAGACCACACTTTATTTGTTTCATGTCCAGTCAATTTTGATTCCCCTTAAAGCTTTCATCTTTGAGAGAGAGGAGAAAATCAAGCTGCTTCAGATCTGAAAAAATCCACAGGTGTTTCTGTCCATCCTTCCACTGTGAGAAGACAACTCAGCGCTATGGGTCTGAAAGGATGTGTAGCTGTAAAGAAGCCTCACTGAGAAAAGGAAACAGACAAAAAAGAGAAACATTTGCACTAAAATGACAAAACTGGACATCTGAGATAGAAGGTTTAATAGATTGATTAAACTAAATTTGTAATTGGGATTACATGAATTGTAAGAAAAAGGAACTGCAACCAACTTCTAAGACGAAACTTTGGAAGCGTGGAGAAATACCCCTGCAGATTTTTTTCAAAAACTGAGAGTAAGTCTCCTGAAATTAATGGAAGCTTTGATAAAGGGAAAGAGTGGACGCACTAAATATTGAAAAATGTAACATTATATTTAGTTACTGGGGCTTCTGCGTAATTTTTTAGCTGTACATTTTTTTTAACATATGTTTTCTGAGAAAGTAATACCTTGTACCTAAGGTCTGTTTTGACCAGAAATGAAATAAATGACTGATTTTGCGCAGTACTGTACTCAAAGGTGACAAATATTTGCCTGTGACATGCAAAATTTAAAGAAACAGTTTAGCCGGTGTGCAAAAATGGTGCAAAAACAGTGCCTGAAAGCTTGTAGCCAGCAATGACGCTGGATGCTAATTAACGGCTGTTCACTTTCATGTATTACTAAAAACATCAGCTTTTTTGACTGGACTGTTCTCTTAAATTTGTGCTACATTACAATCATAAATACCTTTACATTGACAAACATTGTTTCTGTGTTTTTTAGGGTCAAAATTTTCAGAGGGAAGAAGCTACAGGGAGATTATGATATAAAAGTGGAACAGGTAGGTTTTTAGATCACCATTTGTACAAGCAAACCACACTGTGGTTATATTCCATTATTACAGTTTTTTGGTAACAGCACTGTATGGATTTATTGATTTATTTGTTTTTTCTATTCTAGGCGGAGTTTCGTGACCTGAATGTGGTGTCCCATGCTAATGGGACCTGTAACGTAGCTATGCAAGTCCTTAGGAATGGAACCAAGGTTGTGAGGTAAGCATACTAATACACACTTTTGCTTGTGCACTCACTGGCCACTTTATTGGAAACCCCTCTCTTGTAGCTCTGCCTTGCTGGCGCACAATTAGAGACTGTAGCTCATCTGTTGATGATGCATGATTTGTGTTAGCCATCCACTTCATCAGTGGTCAGTTCTGACCACAGAGCTGTTCTTGACTGGATATTTTTGGATGGTGGTCCACTCTTAACCAACAGTGACACTGCACTCATTAATTGTGCAGCAACAGATGGGCTGCAGTCTGTAACTGTACACCTATATGGCATACCTATAAGGTAGTTGGAGCTCATAAAGTGGCCAGTGAGTGGACGTATAAGTTAGATGTTTTTGGAAAATTAGTAGTGAGTGCATTTGTCTGGTGCTTGTCTGACCTTGGCGCTCTCTAATACATGATTTGTATGCAACATCTGAGTATGGGTTAGGCTAAATGCCAAGCCGAGCCTGTCCAGTCGCTCAGCCCCTGCATTAGAGTCTGCAGTCGTCCCATTTAAGCTGCCTGCCTGCTACGGTGTAATTGTGTTGGATCTAATGGCTGGAAGCCTCAGAGACTAAACCAAGCATATCCCTAAAAAGATCCCACTGCGCATAGCAGCTGATAGTTCTGGCAGTTGCATTTGTTAACCTCACAACCCAAAAGGAGTGGTAGATGTCCTGGCTGATTAGAATCCTTGGCTGAATGGGAGAGGTCCAAGAAAACAGAGGGTTGATGGCTTTGTTAGTGTAGCATGAAATATGGACAAGTTTAACACTTGCAACATTTGCTTGAAATTTTTACATCAGTCAGTAAAAATGGAACTTTATAGGAGACAGCAAAAACTTCTCTTTGACTGTTCATCATAAAATATTCATACAGTGGAAAGGGCAAGCTGTCATTTTAAAACATAATAATCCTTAATCCCTTATCAATGGCTTGATGGAACAGAAATGTTACTATGTGACATTAAATAGCCCATAGAATCACATTCCTGCTGTCTCATGTACTCAGAAATACCCAGTCATTACCACTGAGGCTTCACAAGTGGCACCCATAATTGCAGACAATGTGTTCCAACACCATGTATCTGATCACAGCAAGTCATTTAATGAAACCACAATTAAACCTGTTTTAGAATCTAATGCACTCTAAATACTGTGTCTAAATGTCTTCACAGGTCATTCAAGCCTGATTTTGTCCTCATCCGACAACACGCCTTCAGTATGACTGAGAATGCAGATTTCCGCAACCTGATCATCGGGTTACAGTACGCAGGCATCCCCAGCATCAACTCACTGGAGTCTATTTACAACCTGTGTGACAAACCATGGGCGGTGAGTTTTTTTGAATAAACATGCAGACAATACAAAGTAAATAAACACATGTAATACTGAAAATAATGCAAAGGTAGAGCTTTAACATACACTATATGTTAAAGTATCCAGACACCATTTCATATTAGTGAATTTCAGGTGCATCCATTGCTGACACAGACGTTCAATTGCTCACACACAGCTTATGCAGTATAATCTTCATAGAAAAACACTGCCAGTAGAATGGGACACTTTGGAGCAGCCACACATAAGCCTAAGGTCACCATACCCAGTGCCAAACATCAGCATTGGGCTGTGACAGATCTACATTTAGACATATGTGTAATGTACATGCCTATAATCTATACAGTTCCATGCCCTCATACAACATTAAGTACATCCTCCTATCCTAGCACTTCACACCACTTTCTTATTTAAACAATTAACTGGCTTATTTATCATATCATATATTTAGAAAAGCCATCCTACAGTTAAACTGACTGTGAGAAACTGGTAATAATGTAATGAAGACTTGGATGAATGGTAAAAGCCATAGTCTTATGCTCTGCTTCTGTTTTGTTGTTTTAAGTTTGCTCAGCTGATCAGCACACACAGGAGACTTGGACCGGAGAAATTTCCACTGATCGAGCAAACGTTCTATCCAAACCACAAAGAGATGGTAAGAAATTTACATTTAAAATCTGTTGTTTAAAACATGTTTTAATCATGTTTCTAATTTGAATTCTCCCTTAAATTATTACTTTTGAAATTATTATTTGAATTATCTTTGTATTTCATTATTTGTAAGGCACTTTAAATGACTGCAGTGTATGAAAGGTGCTGTATAAATAAACTTGCCTTGCCCTAAGCCGTTCTTTGAAAATAAAGGATCTGAAATTTTTGGCTTGGCTGTGTGGTTCCAAAGAAATAACCCTTTAATTGTTTTCAAACATTTCCAAACATGCTTCTTTAAGGAACCATCCACTGAAAGGTTCTTTTGGAAACCAACAGTGGTTTTACTATGGCATCACTCCAAAGTGCCCTTTACTTTTAAGACAGATCACTCGCTTTCCGACCTATGAGTGTCAAGCTAAAATACAGCACTGAACATTACTGCAATTAAACAAAGGGCAGAACAATTAGCACAAACTATAAATATCTCTGCTTCTTTCTGCATTGTCCAGGTAACCATGCCAACGTTCCCCGTCGTGGTGAAAATTGGACATGCTCACTCTGGTGTGGGGAAGGTAAGCTAGAAGTCAAGCACAGTTCCTATGAAACAGATAAATGCACATGAACAATAAGGGATGATGTAACCAATAATGTATTAAATAACTAATAATGTAATCAATTTTGCATTTACATTGGCTCATAATGTAACTAAATGTATCTAATGAACAGCTTGATAATGTAATAGCTGTTCATTTTCCAGTTATTCGTCATTTTTTTTCCATTACAATGAGTAAACTGTTCTTTTTAATCCTTTTTCTAAGGTGAAAGTCGACAATCACACAAAGTTCCAGGACATAGCGAGTGTGGTCGCTCTCACACAGACCTACACAACATCTGAGCCTTTCATCGATTCCAAGTATGACATCAGGATTCAGAAAATCGGCAACGATTACAAAGCTTACATGTAAGTGGCACTGCTACTGACTAGAGATAGTGATCATATACTGATGATGAGATTATTATAACATGTGTACTGTCTCTGTCTTTTAGGAGAACTTCCATCTCAGGCAACTGGAAGTCCAATACAGGCACTGCCATGCTGGAACAAGTGGCAATGACAGATAGGTAACATAGAGAAAAACATTTAATAATTGTACATATTCATGAGTAAAATTTATTAGGGCTACTTTCAAATTTTCTGGTAACACTTATTTGAAGGCTACCTACATAAGGGCTTCATAACACAGTGAGTAACATATTTATAAAGGAAATAGTTCATGGCAGTAATCTCATGATGACATAAGATGTTTTATAAAGTAAATGACATTGCATTGACATTAGAGGCCTTAAATTAAACTGATGTTTATATGTTATTTATAACACTGGTATGAAGCATCAACACACCCAAGTAACAGGGTTTATAACGCAGAGTCCTAATTAAGAGCATATGTTTTCCATACACACGCGCACACACACACACACACACACACACACACACACACACATATATATATATATATATATATATATATATATATATATATATATATATGCATTTAATACAAGAATGTTACTCAATTCTTATACATATGTGATGAGATTCCAATATTCTTTACAGCCATTTATGAACTCTCTATGAAAGGATTTTGTATAACACCATGTAAACATTCTTCTACTTGGATAGTCTGAGGAACCCAAAATAGTTCTAATTAGAGCCATCTCTTTCCTGAGTTTTCCAACAATTAAAAGTTTCTTAAAAGTTTCTCTCATTACAGAGGCCTTGACTTTCTATCCCACTGATTTCTGTTCACTAGAGATTATCTACTGGGTTACAGCGAGCAGAGTGAAAAACATCAGAGCACAGACAAGAATAATTTCACATTTAAGAGGCTGATTTTAATCTGCACGACTGTTGTAAAAAAAAAGTAACATTGTTCATTTGCTGAACAGATTTTTAAAAAAATGTCTAAAGTCTATAAAATTACTGACACAAACTTTTCTTTTGTAGGTATAAGCTTTGGGTGGACACCTGCAGTGAGCTGTTTGGAGGCCTTGATATTTGTGCAGTCAAAGCCATTCATGGCAAAGATGGGAAAGACTACATTACTGATGTAAGTTTAATACAGCAGGTGACACACATTAGTGTGTATTTTATTATTAACTCCTGGTTTGTGCTGAATCGTGCTGTTTGTCTTTGATCAGGTGGTGGGCTCATCAATGCCCCTGGTGGGAGATCACCAGGCAGAGGACAGGCAGCTTATTGCTGATATGGTTATAGCCAACATGAACCAGGCTATGGCACAGAACCCTAAAAGACCAACTACAATTCAGCCATCACAGGTACATGCACTGATACACTTCCATTCAAAACTTGTCACTTCATGCTGAAGTGAATAATTTGTTATGTTAATAATACTGTATATTATTAATAACGTTATTGATTAATTATTAGGAGTCACTTGATAATAATAGTAATTCAGTAATAACAGATGTACAGTGTAGATCGAAATATTGCAAACTACACACAAGGGTTATTTTAGATTGTTAGACATTTCCTTTTTTTCATGCATCATTATCAAAGTGGTATACTGTACTTATCTATTTGTAGTCATTTCTTTAAGTTATCTGCCTCAAGATTTGGTCACCAGTTTTGAATACGATTCATTATGGATATTAATTTCATTTACAATATTATAAGATGTAGGTGACATCAACATTCAGCCACTCTTGCATCAAAGAATGGTGCAGTTTGGCCAGATTTCGTGGATGCCTTCCTTGGCATCTTGCTCGTTGTTCCAGGTATTCCCACAGATTTTCAAGAGTATTCAAATCTGGGGATTTTGCAGGCTAGTCCTGTGGAATCACCATTTCCTGCTAATGTAAAGGCTGGTTGTGTACAGTGTATAAAATAATTTTTATGCTAGTGCTTTATAGGTTTAAACTAATTCCTAGAAATCTGTACAAAATGAAGAAATGTGAAATGTGTCCAGAATGATGAACAGAACTGTAGATAATTACACATTGACTGAAAAGCTGACATTGGGAATGAATTATAATAAAATAAATGCCCAGAATTTCTAGATTTTCCCCAAAACTTAATACATTTTAAAATACGTTGGTGTCTAGCTTATGGTATTTTGGTCTACGCTGTATAATTTGTTATGAAATAGAATAACATTAATTATTAATACAAGAATTGTTTCAAAGCTTTTGAATAGTAGTGTATATCAGAATACTCTCCATATCAGTAAAAATCAGTACCGATGTGTGCGCGCTATGTTATTGCTACTAGTATCTGTGTTTCTTTCAGAGCGCCACTCAGAAGGAAGCCATGACGGACCTGAAAAAGACCCCACCACAGAAGCCCCCACCTCAAGGTTGTTTGCAGTACATTCTTGACTGTAATGGCGTTGCAGTAGGCCCAAAACCGGTCCAGGCAAACTGAGACGTGAGAGAGAGGCCATAATGACAGCGCTCTCCATGCGCTGAGCACTGAAGGCAGACGTTCAGACAGTGAGATGAGACGAGGGCGTTGGGAGGGGAGGGGTGGGCCGATCTCTCTTCTCTCAGAGAATCAGAGAGAAAAGCCTGGACTGTGTTTTTCCCCTATGCAGTGTCAACGTGTACTTTAGCTGTGCGCTTGTGATGGTTGCTTGTGTTTCTCTGTAAAGCGGTTGTTTTCTTCAGGGCTGTTTTTCCGTGGTGTTATGAGCAGAGTGTGCCTACAAAGTTCAGTGTTGCTTTTACCCCTCATGTACTGTACTCTCTCTCTCAATCTTCTTTTTTTTCCGTTATCCCTGTTTTGTCTCCATTTCAGTGTGTATTTATCGGTGGTGTTCAAACTGTGATCTGGTCAGCAGTTTGACATTGTGTGTTCAGTATATATGTGCGTATGGCCATTGTGGAGATGATATAAATATAAATGTATTGATATACATACACACTTTTTTTTCCTTTTCCTTTCCTTTTTTTTCTTTTTTTCCTTTTTTTTTGCATGAACACTTCCAAGGCAGGTGATTGTGTAGAAAGGTGAGACAGACTCGCTGTGCTTTTTCTGGTCACCGTTCTAATGATTCAGACACATTAGTAGTGCTCATGGCATTGTGAATGTGTACTAAATATTGTCAGCTTACAACTTAGTGAGAAAACATTGTAGTGTAGCGTTAGTCTTTTGAGTAATGTAGAATTTTTAGAGCTTCATAGTGAACACATACTTTCTTTTTTTAGTGGATTCAAGAAAATAATAACCTGAACACTGAATTTTTGTATCATTTTGCTAGAGATGTTTTTAACTGGTCAAGTAGTTGTTTTGGATATTATGGCGATGCATGTCATGGTAGATGTAAACTATTTAGGGAAGTTACTGGGTAGGTTAATGGTGTTTAGATTATAGTTTTATTTTTTCCCAACACAAATTATCCACTCACTGGTCATGTTATTAGGTACACCCTCCTTGTATCTACACTCATTGTCAATTTTATCAGCTCCACTTACCATATAGGTGCACTCTGTAGTTCTACAATTACAGACTGTGGTCCATCTATTTCTCTGAACACTTTGTTAGCCCCTTTTACCCTGTTTTTCAGTCATTAAGACACCCCAGGACCCCCACAGAATAGGTATCATCATTCTCAGCACTGCAGTGAATGGGTGTTGTGTTGGTACAAGCGAATCAGACCCAGCAATGTAAAACTTTTGTGCCAATTTCAGGTGCAGATCATACGCATTCTGCTTGCGTGTTACGTAAGAAACAGAGTTTATGGATTGTGTGCATGGTAAAACCTGAAATGCCCTTGTCTTCCTCATGCATATGCATTTGAGGGAGGGCTGCAGAAAAGTAGTGGAGATATTGGAAGTGCATCTAATTACATTTTGCATATTCTGCTCAATTTACTAAACTTTGAGCACCTCTCAGTGGCCTATTATGCATTGATTTCTTGCATCTTTTAAAACCAGGAGTAAATTTGCTTTAGGGTTTTAGTCTTTCTTTAACGATGGCAGCAGACACAGCAGCTAGATGTGGGCATGAGCTGAAGGAATGTTTACCATCAGAATAATGAACTGTTTAAACTATTGAGATCAGATGTATGTGTGAAAAAGACGCAATGCAAAATAAGCTGTGATGCGGCCACCATATGTGCACACAGCCCATATCATTTCACATACACCCCCCCCCAATAGAATGTTTTGGGCAAAATAAATATCTGTTCCATATCATTGCAAGCATATTGTTTACGCAGTTTGTATGATAAGCCTCAGTCTTAGTTTATCAAATGCCAAATTCAGGCGCATTATGGGCGCCTACTGCCGTCGCATTAAGTCACATTTTGTGCTGCGCCTGGGCTCGTATGTACATCTTTCCTTTAATGTTCACTTTATTAGACACGTCTACCTTATTGGTCCACCTTCTAGATGTGAAAGTAGAGACGGTAGCTCATCTGTTGCTACACACTTTCTGGCCACAGGACGCTGTTAACTGGATATTTTGGATGGTGGACTATTCTTAGTCCAGTAGTGACTGCGCTGAGAATGATTTTCCACCAGGTGGTCTTGCAGGGGTTCTAGTGATGAACTACAATCTATAATTGTAGAATTACGAAGTGCACCTATTTGGTAAGTGGAGCTGGTAAAATGGACAAGCATAGATATAAAGTAAGTGTAATAAAGTAGTCAGTGAGTGTATCTACACACACAGATATATATATATATATATATATAGTATTTATGAGCCAAAGGATTTATACCCCCCTCCCTTAATTCTGGTTACTTATTTGTATCACTTTCTTTTAAGGCAGCTAGGATGTTTGGCTGTGATTGCACTAGAGTGGTTACTGAAGGTTGAATTCTTAATACTAAATGAATAAAGTCTATTAAAAGGTATATATTATATATAAATAAATGGGTATAAATTTGAAGGATCACGCCTTTAATAAATGGTTAGATGTTACGTTCTAAGCCATATCAGCACAAGACAATGGTAGAGATGAGACGGCACTGTATTTTTCTTCTCGCGTTTGCCCTGTTCTGGTCCGTGTGTAAGTTTGTCACTGTGACAATGGTTTAAAGGGTGCAGATTTTTTTCACACTGCTGAAAGACGTCTTTGTGTTACTGCCATTCTTTGAATTGTTTGCCTTATTTACGTCAGTCGATGCTGAGTGCAATATGTACGTGTACTATTTTTGCCACAGAGCCACACAGAGAGGTATACTATTCATGATTGTAGTGCTGAAAATGTGTATTTTCCTTGACTAGAGGTTATGTATCCCCGCATATTGATGTTTTAGTCAAGAGGGTAAGCATTCCAATGCATGTGGGGTGGAAAACTATTTGCTGTATAAAAGTATGTTGATGTTGATGTGTGTCTGTTAATGAATTCTGATGCTGTGAGGCTCGCTTTAGCAGGATATTAACATTTGTGTCCTTGGTTTATACTAATGCAGTTGTCCTCATATGTAGTAATCTTCTGTCAAAAGAAGCATGACACAATTCCCTTGAAAGTGTTGTACATTTGTATCCTAAACACAATTGTTTGATAGAATTGTAAATGTACTGTACTTGTGCAAATCACGATATGTCCAAAACGCTGTGCGCTACTACTTTAAGCTATACATACTGCATTATATGAGATACAGACATGGCTGTAGAAAAGAGTATAATATAGTAACACTGAGTTTTAACTGTAGAATTTACCTGTAGAGTTTTAACGAGTCTGAATGGTTTCTATCTGAATGAGTTGAACTGATGTCATTTGAATTCAGCTGTAGTGCTGCTCTGCCTGATCTCACATTCAGATTTATGAGCTGCAGTGTAAAAGGACGTTCAGTCATACAGCAGCTGTTAAAACTCAGAGTAAGCAAAGACCATTCGGAACAAATGCTGAAAACATTGTCAGTGCATTTGTGACATCTTCCTTTCTCACAGGCAATAAAGCTTACATCGCAATATATACATCTGTTCTGTGTTGGCAAGTCAGTTATTTCAATCCTGCATGACTGATGACTCAGGACTACATTAGAAGGGCTACTGCTGTGCACATTTAGTCTTGAACCCCTTAAATTCCCAAGCTTGTTAAATCCTAAGGCTTATTTTTCCATAACTACATTAAAAGCAATGCAAACTGACTGAATTATTGTTAAATTCTAGGGGTGAGGGTTGAAACCCTGGGTCTGCCGCAGCTTCTGGCCATTCAGGGGGTTCGGACCGTATTCACAAGACATTTGGTATCCATCAAAAAATACACTGATACGCATTGCTGGTTTGTTGTGGGTGTGACTGTGGGCAGAGATTGATGAGAGTGAGAAATTCATTCAAACCTGAAAAACCTATTAGTGAGAACTGCTGGCTGTTGCTGCTCTTTTTCATAGAATGAACCATAAATGATGTTTGTGAGTTTTAACCAAACCAGTTACTCTCAGACTGTATATTTAGAGCTAAATGTTGACAGTTGACAGTTGGCTCTTCCATTTTGCTAAGAGTTTCTTATTGGCAAATGCATGGATGGAAGTTCAGCTCATAATTTTCACATTTGTGTGACTCTGTTGCATGACAGTGCAGTGTTTTGATTAGATTTTTTTGGTTCATTGTCTGAAAAATAATAATAATAACAACTTATTTATATAGCACCTTTTATAATAAAGTGTAACTTAAAATGCTGTAAATATAAGATAATAAAACAGTAAAAACACTCATTTAGCTAATTAAATAGCTAATTAATGCTACATTATGTTAAAATGTGGGTGCTCATGATAGAATTTAACAAATTCATGTGATGTCTGTGGGTTGCCCAAGAGAAACATGGAACCAAACTTTATCCTCAGACTAGCTCAGAAGATCAACTACATTTTGGAAAAAATACATTCTTGTTACTTTTTTATTGTATTTATGCTTATTTGTATTTATTCAAATGACATATGTCACTTTTTCAAGTAAAAAAATACACTGCTGAGATAAATGGTTTTAAATAATGTCTCTAAGTGCCTAAAATTTTGCACAGTGCTGAAAGCAACATAACCATATGAAATAAGAATAAAAACAGAAAATTAAAAAACAATAATAAAAACCAATAATAAAATATTTCAAAAATAAAACAGTTAAATAACACAAATAAAGTTATTATAAATAAAACACAATAAATCTAAAATGAAGTAGCCAATACTAATGAAATGGCGGTCAAAATAAATATGCTTTCAGTTGCTTTTTAAAACTGCTAATGGTAAGAAATAACCAGAGTTAAACATTTGACAGAATATAATGTAACATAACTGTACATCAGCCAACAGGAAGTGTTCTGGGCCACATCTTCAGTCAGTCACTTAATGGTGACCTTTCAACACTACATTGAGCATATGTTGTGGCTATAACCCACTTTCAGGAAAAAGGTACGAAACTGTCACTGGGTGGAACCCCTTCTGTCATTGGCATGGTACCCTCAAGGGTACATCTCGGTACCTTTAATTAGGGAACATAATTGAACCATAATTCTCTGAAATTATGTTTTCTAAGTTGTATTGACTCCACACACCCCGTCTTGTCTCCAGGCTTTTTATTTTACTGTTCTGTTTTAAAACATTAGGTTATGAAATAATACAAATATGTACTTTTCCACTAGGAAAAAAAAATATTTATAGTACACAATTTGCTGTTGTACCTTTGAGTTTACATTTACATTGTTTGTATATTTGATGAATGAGAAATAAAGCAGTAGCTTTATTTCTAGCTGTACAGTAACTTGTGCCAATAACTGTTTTCATGAACATTGTCAGTGTGCTTCACTGGGGACAGCGCAGATTGAATCTTAGGAAAGCAGGAATAAGAAATAAGCAGCCGCCATTTAATTAAATTCACACAATGTGGTAAGATAAACTATGTTTCCAAGTGCGTTAGTGTGGAAGTGTCCCCCTGCTGAAATAGCGATTTTAAATGGTTCTGCCACAAAGTTTCATTTGTGCCTATAAGTCAGTGGTCCCTGCAGTTGGAGATTTTATCCACGGAATATGTGGCCTGTACTAAATTAAAAATTGGTGGGGTATCGCCCCAGTAGCTTGAAAAGTGCCAAGTCAAATGCCTGCTCACCTTTGTTGTTCTGATGCTGTGATATCCACACACTTTTTTTTGTTTCCTTCTGTTTTCACTTACGAAAATTCATGTTTGAATGAGTTTCCCATTTACATCAGAGGGGAAAAATGATGACCTCTGGCAGTAAAAGTACCTAAAACACACCAGCAATGCATATCAATGTGTTTTTGACAGAATCTAACCCTCAGCATACACATCTTTGTAATACGGAGGCTAAGCACTAGTATTGGGGACAATATGAGGCCATTTACATATAGATTTAC